AAAAAACTAGTAACTTATCGCTAAAAAAAGTTAGGATATTTAAATAATTTGCATTTAATTACAACAAAATCGAATTTTTTAGTAAAACTTTCGTGTGACAAATGTTGGTGAAAATTTCCTCATATGTTTATAAAACAAAAAAAAATTTTCGAATATTGAAGCCTGTAAAAGCGATTTGCGTTCGAATTTTAGGCATCAATCAGATGAATTACGCTTCATATTCAAATATATTATGAATCAAATAAAATATTTTTACCATATTCATCTGCTGATAAAATTTATTTCTAATATTTTTAAATAAAATAATTTATAACATACATAATTTCACTCCTTTGTTGTGAATATTTAACATGTTTTTTTAGAAGTAAAAAACTTATATTTGCTATATACAGTCGAAGATTTCAAGGCTATTTCCTATGTTGTACAAGTAAGTGTTAAGAAGATTATGCGAATTTTATTACAAAATAGACCTCTTTTTGTATAACAAAATTTTGTAAGGAAGACTTATATTACAATCGATACTAAAAGTTCATATAAAAACTTTCGTGGTCAAGATAATGAGATTGATATCTCATGTAATTCAAATAAAAATTTTTGGTTTTTGATTTATTTATTAAATTACTCATATTGACATTGAATAATTAAATTTGAGCATTTATACACATTGCAACTAAAGTTAAACTTATGTTTCTATATTAATATTATTATTTGTTAAATTAATCAACTTAAACTAATCATCCAAATTTAATTGATTATTTATTGATTTAGTTTCAGAATCAATTAAATACAATACATGTGAATCTCTAAGATAAAAATAATATTAATTTTGGATCAAGATAACAACATTCTATAATTTTTGGTAGATTTTTATCCTTTAATTCATATAATTGTATACTAAAAGCCTGAAAAAAATTAAAACCAACAAATCTCATATTAAAATATGAATATATTAAAAATTAAAAATAGAAGATCAACATGTAAATATTATGAAAAAGTGTTTTTGTCCTATTTTTTGTATTTATCGTGTAAAAAACTATATATTTGTACTTTTTTCAAAAAAAAAGTAATTTAAAATGATACTTTTTTGGTGGAAAATTTTACAAGTTACCTAGTATAAATATATTTTTATTATACAGATCTAAATTACTTATTAAAAAGCAAAGCACACAGTTTAATGCTAATAATACTAGATTAATGTGTTCTTAGTAATTAAATGTAAGAAATTGAAAAAAATTTATATACGCTTGTCGTTTTACCATAGAGATTATAAATTATTGATAAACCTTTCAGACTTTCCAGTTTCCTATTGAAAAGTGAATTTAAATTAAATTCGAAAGACATTTTCTTGTAATGTTAATTTACTAAAGTTTTTTTATGCTAATATTTGATCAAAAAATACCAATCATATTTTGATCGAAAATACCATAACTTTTTATTTTTGGCCACTAGAAAACTATGCACTAACACACATCAAAAAAAGCCAAAATTCAATTAACATAAAAAATACCAATAAGAACGAAAACAACCTAAATACAAATTTTTTCTTAAGTGTTAAAGATTTAAAAATAGAAAAAAATCAACAAAAAAAAACTAATTTTTCCTATTTTATGTACCCATTTTGTTTATGTGAAAGCATTTCTAACAACAATTTATTACTAATCAATGTTAATGTTGTGATTTTTTTACACCAATTAAAATATTTTAAATAGTTATTGATTGTCTGTTAAACTAAACATCAATAATATCAATATTGATTTTATTTACCGAACGAAGTATTATAAATATAATAAATAGACCAAAAATATGGTATAATACAAATCGTAATTAAATTTTCGATTCGAGCTACTTTTATTACCATTTAGTCTATTTGGTTTTTCGGCGGCTTATCTTACCACGAAAAAACTTTTAATAACTTTACAAAAATATATTTCGGTTTTATATCGGTATCAAAAAACAGGTAAAGAGCAACAAATTTTTTAGGCTGATCACTTTCAATGAATCGCTATTTAATGCCTTTGA